ATTGTCATCACTTTTTTCAATAAAATCTATGTTGTCTGTATAATAACATAACTTCCATCTTTACCTTGACAAACATTCCCTAATGGAAATTTCCTACAGGAGTCCTATATGTCTCTTATAGTTTATTGGCCAAAAATCCTATAGGATCCAATAGGACATGTTCTGGATAGGAATCCTGTAGGATATCTGATAGAAGTCCCATAAAGTCCTGTGCAATCTTTACAGAGTCCTATAGGGTATTTTCATAAGGGCTGTTTAAGTTTATTTTCTAAAAAATTACCATAATAATAATAAAATGTTGGTATTTACCTTTACGCCAAGAGGCAGACAAGGGTATGGATAGCGGTTTAACCCAATCTCCTCATAGGTCTCTGTCCCTGGCAGCTCCTTCTCAATACTGAGACCAAACACGTAGCCAATGATCAGCAAGCAATGGGCGTACAGGATTATGACAGGGGAGGCATGGAGGCAGACAGTGCGAGAGTGGGGCGTCATCCAGATAATACAAGCAGCCAATAGGAACACAAAGGTCAACCAACTGTGGTAGGTTATGCTCCAAAGCTAAAAATGTAAATGTCAAGGTCAAATAAATCTGGGTCAAGGTCACAACTGACATCTACTGTAGTTTGATGTATATGTACTGATTAAATTCAAACAAATTTGGTTAAAATCTATTCCAAGAACAATGTTGTGCAAATAATTTCTCAAAATACAAGTTTTGAAAAGTTATTGCATTTTAAAACAAAAACAAATGATAAGAAGTCAACATCATTTCAGTGAGTAAGGTGTTTTTATAAGAGAAATCACTGTAAGCTAAATTATACATCCATACCATCATGACAACTAGGGTTACAATATAGCTCTGCCTCATCAGGTAGAAGAAAATAGTCCCCCATATAGACCTCTGTGGTTTGGTATGGTCAGTTGTGGCCGGATTGGCCGGAGGAGGACTGTCCTGGTGACTGGGGGAGTCAGGGGGGACAGGCTCCAGAGAGTTGTAACTGATGGGCCGATCCTCGTTTTCCACCAAACGCTAAAATATATGTAGCACTGGAATAATTGGTGTGCCAATCTTTATTTTATACCAAACACTGGAACATATTAGTATAGAGAGCACTGACAAAGATGTAGGTGTAATACCAAAGGTGTGTCAATCTCCATTTCCTTCAAATCACTGGAATATATGGAATTGTAATGCATGCTAAAATCTACCACCAAGGGTGTAAATAAGTACATATCTACTGTTGTTGATTTTTTGTTCATAAATAACAAATAAATACAACATAGTTACATAAAGTTAACCCTCACTCTTAGATTATTAATTAGTAAGGAGGCCTTATAATGCATTGTTCACTTTCACCAGATCTATTCCAGTTGATTATTGAAACAACCAGGTCTTTTCCAGTTTATACAGCTCAATGAAGCAACCTGTTACAAATCTTGTCACCAGATGGCATCGCTGAGGCAGAGGGAGCAAGAGAACCCCTTTTTCAAAACTTGTAGAGGCTGTTTGAACAGCTATCATACACAAGACCAATGAGTTAAATAGACTGAACCAAGTTACAGTTCAGTTATTTACTTTTTAATTCTGTATGATAGCTGTAGCCTCTAATATCTATCCTCTAAGTTGCAAGTATAAACCAAATAAAGCTATTTCATCAAGTGTGAATGTCAACATAATTTATCAGTTATCAAAACTGATCAGATTTCCAGATACTTAATCAACTGCCAAATGAAATTCTTTCTTTTTTAAAAAACAGTTGGTTTTTAACTTTACTATAATTTCATGTCAACTTTTATAATACTTGATTAGACCTTTTACTGTCTTGAATGGTTTCAAGAATTCTAATTTAAAAACTTTACATGCCCATATAAAAATACATGCAACATTTAGGTCCTTATTTGCAATAATATACAAGTAAATTAAACATGCAGACAAAATGTGTGATCTCTCCAACCTGCAAATATTAATATTTTAAATAAGTCATTTTAGAATTTATAATACTTAAAAAATAAACATCGTATACCGAAATTATATGAAAGTCAACTTTATGAACCAACATCTTGGCATAAATGTTTTGCACATGGCAGCAAAAGCAAAAATATCTTATATATCAGTCCAAATAAAATTATAATAAAAATGTAATTGCCATTTGTAAATAAAGTGCCCATTTTGACATTGATATATGAGACTGAAGCAATCTATCCAATAAATCATGAAAAGTAATAAAGAAAGAAAAAAGGCAGCTGTCATGGTATATATGATAACAATGATTGCTGATCAGCCCAAGCCATACAGCATCCAATGAAAATCTTCTCTGATAACACACAATGTGAATAAACCAGGCAATGAAACATGAAAAAGGAATTCAAAGTGAATTTTCCATATGAACAGAACTAGGAAAATGTCTTACCTCTGCCTCAGACTCGGAGACGTTCAGATTATAGAGAAGGTCTGGAGGAGTCTGGACCGTTAGCAGAACAGGGGAAATCAGATATATCAACTAATATGCCATGAAGGTGGATCAAATCAGGAGAAACTGACATGGGTGAAAGTTGTGAAAACTGATAATCCTGAAAACGTAGCTAACCTTGCAATTTCTCATTGCATTTACGCCATTTGAAAAAATGATCAAAATAATCGGAAAAAACTTTCACCCATGAACTTAAGAACTGGGCATGATTTGAAAAATGTCTCCTGTGTTTTAGAGTAATCAAGTAAAACCTTATACTGTTAGTATGTATGTATGTATGTATGTATGTATTCAATTCTACTGACATCCATATATGACCCTAGAAAACTTATGTATGATATGACAGGAGAGGAGCAGCCAGTATTGTCCTTTTTCCGCTTTGAAAAAAATTTTGATAAAATGTGCAAATTATGACCCTTTTTTTAAACACTGTGGCAGTTGTTCTTTGTGCATCAAACATGCCTCAGTTGGTTCTAACGTTGCCTAGATGACAGTACTCAAAATCTAATGCCTTATCAACAATAGAATATTAACACCTGTAAAAATGCAAGTTTGTCCTTTATAACACTAAGGACACGTGTGAATATATCGACTTGGCAACTCTGGGGGTCCCGTTCATTTTTTTCCTTACCTTTTGGGAAAGAAAGGGGTTCAATGTTGCTGGCTTTTTTGTTATTAAAAAGGGAGGTGTATATCAATTCCTTGTTGAAACTCTAGACAAGATTTTCTTATCGACAGTTGGTTTACACTGAAACTACCAATACAGTGGGGAGTAGTGACACAATTGAAGCACCTGTCACTCTTACAGAATAGCAGATTTTTTTATACGTGTGCAAGTTGCAATTAATACCACCCACCCGCCCGCCCCAAGGAAATGTCAGCTGCTACAATGTGTTGTATGTGTTACAATAACAACGGCACATTATTACAATGACTGGTTTAGAAATGCCCACACAGTGTTTTCATTTTCTCAAATTCTCACATAACTCACACAGGAATTGTGTTAGCTGTTTACTGAAGGAATTTCCAATTGTTATGTCCATGCTCACAGTTTTTTTACCTGTATGCTACCTCCTGTTAAATCAGGCATCTTGGGAGTCGTCTAAAGCAACAAAATTAACAAAAAATCATTACACCTTATCAAAATGCTTCAATATTAAATAATACAACAAGCCAGCTTAGCTGTGTTTATACTTCAAAAGTATTGAAAACAACTGCAGAAAAGTGCTAAATAATTTATAAATAATATTATATAAGAATTTAAAGTTACAATTTACAGTAGCCGTATAAGGGTAAAAAAATGTATAAAACAATAAATGAATAAAACAAAAGTACAAATCTTGATAAGATCAATCGGTTCAAATAGATCCTTTCATTTCCTTAATATTTCAATCAAAACATTGAATCAAAAGCAAAAATAATACTAAAAATGATGTAAAATGAAATCTGAAGTTGATAGGTTTTATAGGTGTAGGACATGTTAGACATGATAAAGCTTTGCTATATGGACTTATGTAACAAAATCATGACATACCGCCTGCGACAGTGGTGGGGAGGGGGGGGGTGCAGTTGACAATTAACATGGGAGTTAGGACTAAAATAGGAGCATAAATACATACGATCAGAGAGGTGGCGCCACCTCCTGGGTGTGTACCACCAGCTCAATTATGGTATGAATAATGAATGATGAACTATACTCTGAAAACTATCTCCATGTGGATTCTCAATAACTAGTTTTTAACCAAACTTTAATCAGTTTAAAAAGGTGAGTATCAGTCAAGGATAAGGAGCATATATCATATCATATGGGTATATAATATATATGGAAATGTTTTAAGGAGAACTGTCTTGGGTAGGAAATACTTGTAGCATCATGTGACTTCACAGATGACACAACAATGAAAGCAAAGCTTGCTGGAGGGAAAACAGCTTTTTTTTTTTACTAAATTCACTGTGTGGAATTTCATAAACCATTCATGTGGGTATGCCAGTTGTTACTTTGCCTCAGATATATTTGAATAATGCATTGAAATCATTTATCTGTTCAAAAGTGTAACTATGCACATAAAGACAATGTTAACAAAAATGCACCAAACTTATCCAAAATTATCAATTATAATTCCATGTTATTTTACTTCATGTCAAGTAATGGTTTTAAATCTGACAGATTAAATTTTTGACACCATGAAATCAGCCAGATTCTGAGAAATTAGGAATCAAAGTTTTAACTGAACTATTTTCACAATCAAAGTTTAGTACATTTTTGTCCAACTATTATGACTAATTTATATTCTGTTTCAAAATCTGCTCTATATCATCAAAATGGTAAGTTGTCATATGTACAAGACTATTACACAGCCAGTGAACTTTAAAGTATATGACTGATACTGCTCACAGAGGCTTGGCTGTTTCCACGAAGGCACTGCTGCTTTTCAATGGGGGAAAATTAATTTTATATATACTGTATTTTTAAGTCATAAATTTCTGAAATTATAACACCCTTATATTGAGTGATAGCAACAAAACTGAAAAGCAGGCCGCCTTTTATTTCTATAACATATAGTAAAAGCAAATGCTTCAAATGCCAAAAGTGCTTACAAAAATAATTTTTAATGATTCCAAAATTATGTCTCTGAAATATTGATGATTTTTCCCAATTGAAAAGATCAAGTCATTACCGTAAGTTCATTTACTTGGTATACAGTTATAAGATCTTATATTTTTTTTCACAAACAAACTTTTACTCACTTGCTACATTTTAATGTTCTCTGGACACATCTATACTGGACACCTATCAGTGTTTTGACTAGTGAAGTGAGTAAAAGTTCATTTATGAATAAAAAAAGGAAAAAATAGATCTTGAAACACCGCTGGCTTAACACTGCAATAAGCTGTAAAAGTATGCTACACTTAAATACCTCACATCGATAGTGTCACATATAAATATTCTATACAAAACCTTAATAGGACACATGCCATGCACTTGAGTAAACATTATCTTTACAAGTATAAATATATATGAAAACGGAGATATGCATATTGATGTGCATGTGCATGCATGAACGTATGTGCATGTTTGTGTGCAAAAGATAAAATTAAAACACTATTAACTAAATTTCGAAAATCTATATTGCAATACAGAATTTCAATCTGTAAACAACTTAAAACATATCATATCATATCATGCAAACATGTCACCCGGACCTCAATAAAACATGCCAAACCTGTGCAAATAAGTATAATATAAACCATGCAACTAACAGAAACACCACATCACTGCACAAAAAGAGGAGCAGGGTTAATTTCTTTAAGAAACCATTGGGATTGGTATACATGATGATTTAACTGATTAGAACTGTTGTCAATTTCCTGTCAGGTTGCAAATGCCTTTGGGTTAAACATTTACATTATTGAATTGAATTAGATTATACATAAATAATTTGTTTTGTTGATCTCCCATGTACATGCATATTTTATAGCCTGCAATGATCCTCAGCACTTGATCTGCAGGTTAATTTTGTTCCTTTCAATTCTTGTCTCCTTTTGATATGGCTATCTTGGTCCATTGAAGTTCTATATCTGAACAATGACTTCCACTATCAATTGCAATTAAAATGATTACATTTTGATGTACTTGATACGTGTCACATGCAAGGATGGCAAGCAATAAACAATATATAATTTTATGGGGAAATAATCGAAAGGAAAAGGAAATATTTATATAAAAATACAACAATAAACATGAAAGAAATGAGTTAACAATATAAACAAAAAGCAAATAAATAGTGCATGAACAAAATAATATTTAAAAATATAATTAAAAAATATTTAAAAAAATGAAAAAAAAAAGAGTTCTGAACTAAATATCAGATTTGTTGGATAGTTCAGTGTCCAGCCATGGTAGTGGACAGCTGTGGCATGCTGGGCAGGTGACTGGACAGAGGTCAAACATATCAAGATATCAAACACTTATGTTATCCATTTGTGTTCTAAAATGGGCGGAGAAGCAAAAATGTTTAACAGGAAAGAAAGAAGGCATCTGTTTATCTGCACTGAGAAGGTTTCTCACAGGAACAAAATGACTTATTAAAATTAATGAAAATAAAGTGCATTTCTTTTTTTTTTTTTTTTTTTTGATGATACAGCTGAGAGTTTCAAACCCATTCTATCATGTGCATCTTGAAACTTCTTCAAGTGACATTTAAAATTTTTTGGGGTGTGTTTGTGCAGTGCCATTAGTTAAGAGTTCTAAGATGCAGTTTTAAAAAGTTGAGCTTACTTGAAAATTTGCTTTACAAAATTGTTTTCCAAAAGTTTCCCTCAGCTTGTCAATTTCTTATAACACGAATGAATAAGGTTCTAAAATACACCACAAAGCATGTATTATCAGCATAATCTGGGAATTAATTGGATTAATATTGACCTTGTATTTAGTAATTCCTCACTTATATTGTAAATATATTGAGAAAGAAATAGTAAAATGCTGAACAATTATTCCATCAATGAAATAAAATAAAAAAGAAAAGGTTAATTTAAAATTAATTAAAAAAATTAATTTAATGACCCTAACTCTTGCTACTTCTTAACCAAAACAAAATGAACACATGTTAGTCAACACTCAAATTCAAAAGCAAAGTGCTAGGCGTTACTTCTTGTGCTGCCCCAAAACAAAACACTATACATCAAGGTTAGTGGTGCAATAATAATTCAATGTGCATTTTTTTCTGTGATGAAATAATATCAAGAACAATTTTCTACATAATTTCAAATATTTATGAGGGAAAAAATCCATTATTGGAATCAAAATATTGTTATTTTTCTTTAAAACATATCTTATATATGTATGTATAGAAGCAATTTGGCAAGGAAAACTTTTTGTTTGAATACTTGGTATAAATAATGTTTTAAGTCAATTTATTTTGTTTTTCTGCAAGGAAAATAAGAGGAAATGGGGGAATCAAGACATTAAATTGAGCTGTTTGCTTTATGCTAGAAATTTGCTTGATTAAAAGATTAATTTTTTAATCAACATAAATTAAATAATTTAGATACGGAAATGTGAAAAAAAATAAAATAAACAACACAATTACACCAAGTGTGGACAACAATAATTAGTGCAACACAGAACATGACAACAAAGTGGCAAATCCAGGATTTTATACTCCAGGCACGGGACACAAGGGTTAAACTTTTTGTTTCACATAGCATGCTTTCACATTAAGAATAACACTTTACAGAAGGTATGGGGATTAGCGAAGGGGTGGAGGGGTGGAGAATGGGGTGGGTGGTGGGAGGAGCCTGGATCTGCCATTGGGGCACAAGACAAGGGATATAATATATCAAAATAAACCACTGCACAGCACTGCCACCACATCTAGCCACCAGACTGGAGTAGAAATATCCATCAAACCTCTTCTGCTGGATCCTTCTCTACCTGCTTCTCTGACACGGCACGGCTACGAGACTTTGGTCGCTTCATGTGAGCACGCAGCATGCTAGGGGATGCCGAATCACTGCCAGGGGGGTGCTGCTCAACCTGTATAAGAAGACACAGCATGCAGAGCTAACAGAATCAAGCAGCGCAAACCAATGCAAGGGATTTCTTTTTTTGATGAACATGCTATTAGTATTAATGTCATGGTTATATTAATAAATATTATCTGAGTGTAAAAACATCAATAAATACATTAAAACTATGCTGACCCATAATGACTTTTTCAAAATCTTAGGTGCTTAAAAACAATCTGCAACACTCTATAAATGGGAAACTGGATGAGAGTTAATTGCTTCGTGTTTGTAGGAGACCAGTTGATGACCCTGCATAAGGTAATGCAGTCAACTGTTCCAGTACCATGCAGAAATAAATATAGCCTTTTCATGGCAGAGAGCAACTTTCATTGGGACTTTGAGACTTGACACTACACACAGGTAAAAAGCTGTTATAGCTGAAACTACAAACTATATTGTTAGAAATTTCATAAAATATTCAGATAAAATTTGTTCTGACTCCACTCCAGACCAGTCATGTTAAGAATCAATGCATATTACACTAATCCAGAAATAAGAAGTTTACACGGTGATTTTGCTTCATTTGTTGTATGATTAATAGACCCAGCTGGGCTTTTCTGTACAGTACTTGCTTTGATCATTTGTGCTTCTCTGAAGACAAGTAAATTGAATGCTGCTGAAATGCTGATTATCTGTAGAATAATCCTAATAAGTTGCTGCTGGAAAATAAATTTGCTTTATTCCCAGGGAATAAAAGCCAATTTTCAACACTAGAGACTGACATCAAAACATTTTGTTCTAAACGAACAAATTACCACAATGGAAAAAAATATTTGGCACATCTTTTTGTTTTTTAGGTGTAATATTGGGCTTTTTGTCAGATGTTGCATTATCTAGACTGCCAATGATGAGTTTGTTGCCACACATGGTAATCAATAACTGTAATGATTTTGTAATTCTAGTGGTGTAGCCTTTCACAAGGGATGCGACAGGTGCTTAAGTACTTCAATTTAGCTTGGTATTCTTCTGTCTCAGGCCAACAAAGAGAAACCAATCTAACCCTACTGCTGCCAACTCTCCCAACTGTCACTGTAAGGTACTGTAATTGAGTCAAAGTTGCTATTACAACAGGCAATTTTTTAAAATAGAAATCACAACGACAGGGACAGCTGAATAAAACAATCAAAACCAAAATACGAAGGTACTATTAGCCTACCAGAAAATAACATGAATATTGTGAAGGGCACCTTTATAACATTAATCTATGAGTATGTTGATTCATTTTCTTTATCTCTGACTGCGACCAGAGAGCTTTGCTACCTCGTCAATACTCACGTCTGAGATATGTGACATCCAGAGTCGTACTTCAATGGCCAGGATCCAGTAAAATGCCAGGATGACCGCGGGGCTCACATAGACTGGCCAAGGGTTGACGTAGAACTCCACCTCCCAGGCTTTACTACAGCTGGTCTCTATGATCCCCGTAAGCCCAAACAGTCTGAAATATGACAAATAATAATAATAATCATAAAACTCACACATGACTTTGGGTTATATAAAAAATGAAAAAATGGCCTGATGGCCTTATGATGGGGAACTACAAAGTCCAAAAACTGCCAAGGATAAGCCATGTCTGAATAATAATAATAATAATAATAATAATAATAATAATAATAACAATAATAATAATAATTAATAATAACAAAATTTGCATGTTACGTTTAACTTTAATTTTTATGTTAATTTTTTTTTATTTTAAAATTTAACCTTCAGGTTATTTTAGCTGCCATTTCACAAGGTATATTCTTAACATTCTGCAGGACTTGATTTATCCTTTGCAAGTGAATTCATCTTCAACACTTTTCAAGGACAGAAGACTAAGAGATTAAACAAATCCAGCTAAGTGTGGCATTTCCACATCAATCATTAAAACAGCTTCAACTAGAGCTGAAACAATTTTCCAACTGAGCTAGCTGTCATATTATCGCAGTTTATAAACCAAGACCTCAGTTTAGAATATTCATAAGTCACTGTCAAATTAAGCATGTACGCAGGCAGCTTTCCATCTACTATCAGTTTAGGAAATGAAAAGATTAATTACCCAGATATAATTTTCTTGTTAACAAGCAATGTTTACTCCAGGGTAATTAAAAATCAAATACCTCTTTGGATGACAAAATCACTGGGGATAATAACATTTGATTCAGTTACCAATTTGCAATCTTTCTCAGGCCCTCAATACATTAAGTGGTGTATACTGCAGACATAAAGTCTGTACCAAAACACTTGAAAAAGACTGACAACTTATTACCATTTTGAATCACGGCATCGCAAGAGAGTAACAACAGCTGCATTTTGATTCATTCATCCATTCTAGGTAATCTCCAACAATTATAAAGCTTTTAGCTTGATGGGAATCATTCAAGTCATAAAATGAGGCTGTCAGCACTACAATATTTACACTGTATTATTCCAAAGCTTTACCTTGCATAAAAGTCCTCATGATCCAGAATCTCCTGGAAGAACTGGAACTGGTACAGATACAACAGCAGTAAGTGGACCCCGCTGAACACCAGCAGGACCAACCGGAACCGCCTGTACGACTGCCCCAGCCCGCGATAACAGGCCCACCAGGTGGCAATAAACAAAAATGACAGAAAATACACCGCAGAGATAACAGACGGATGGGCTATCCCGGCCACGCCCAGAAATAAAATTGCTATGACATCGCCAAGATCCTGTATGTACTGTTGGTAGGACACCTTTTTGTGACTGAGAAGTGAACTTCTGCGTACTGGTTGCTGGGGGTCTGAAGGTCTGGGGGGAGGGTTGAGTTTCCAACACACTATAAATGTTATTAAAGAGATTGTGAACATGGCGACATCGGGGACTAAGAGACGGGCGATGTTGAGAACATTGGCCTCGTCCACCCTGAAAAAAAGATTGAAAAAGTTATTTCTGTTCTTTTATTAAATAAATTGTGTGTGTGTGTGCACGCGCGCGTATACTATATTGAGCAACAAGCATCTACAACTATATCACACCGTTTCAAATATCATAATATTGAATGAGATGTTCAACTTTATAAGAAAATTGACTGCAGTTTGTCACCTTTGAAATCCAAACTGGCGAAGTATTTTTTCTTCTTGTGAACCTGAAGTTTTAAAGATGAGCCACAATATATATTAAAAAATAAATAAGTATTTTCAACACTATATATACTATTTTCAAAACTATATAAAACCTATTCAAATGTAACATCAAATGTGAAAGACAAAAACATTTTATATCTTTATCTAACATCTGTCTACTAAAGGTAAATCAAAGATTTTCTCAAATACTTTTACAATATGCAGATTGGGGGATATGATTTGCAATATGATTATTTCAGCCTGGTTGAATCCAGTTATGTTTTAAAAGGAACTCAAGGAAGTATTTTAACACTTTTTTATGATAAGACATCTGAGCCATTATTCTCAATCATATTTTAAAAAACAAACCCTTCCAGTCACTGTGACGATCACATTACCCAGGGTCACTCATATAAACTGGTTGAGTGGAAAACAAACACAGTTCCTTGTCACAGCCAGTCTTATATATTCATTTGAGTCAAAACATGGATGAATGCAGCTTTAGACTGTTAACTTGGGTGAGCAGTCAATATAACAGCCTATTTTAAGAAATAGCCTGTTGTTACAACTCCTCTATTCCCAGATAAATAGCACATCATCCATACAAGGAAGTATTAATGGACTGGGCAATTATCCATAGCTCCAGCTTAGAAAATCTTTCCTTATTTGCTGCCAATTAGAGAAATCCCTCAGAAAAAAACCCTAGGATCGAGTGAGGGCAGGTGTCACGCGTGGGCTTCTACACTGGGTCTCAAATATCCACACACTGTGGATTGTTTGTCACATGCAGGCCCGTAGCCAGTGGGGGTTCGGGGAGAGGAGGGGGGGTTAGAAAGAACTGCCCCTTTTGGTGGGAAAAGGTCCAATCCGGGTAAAATTTGATCTAGGTTCATGAAGTTTTTATAGAAAAAGGATCACTTTTTCAAAAAAGAACCCCCCTTTTGAAATTGCTGTCTACGGGCCTGACATGTCATCAGTTCTTATCGCGGAATTTTTTTTATTTCATGAATTAATCAATTATTGTAATTGGTTTATAAATGATATGTTTCCATGTCATTTTCATAAGGCAATATCTATTTTTGTGTTTGCTTTTCATTTAGTTAAAACATCAACAGATACTTAAAGCTGTAAACTTTCCATACACCCTGTTTTCAGTTTTTTCTTTGAACCAGTGCTTTCCAACGTTTGTGTAATAGACATTTCTATTACCAAATGTAATAATACTCAGAACACCATTCTCTACAACTGTGCCAAGTTTCATGCTTTCAAGTTAAAGTGCATGATTAACCGTTTTCATCCGCACCATCCTACTTGACAAAAACACCACTGTACAAAAATATAAACAGCATTCGCCATTTCAAATGATGGCGAGGCATGCTCATACTTCTAGATGAAAGGTTTAAAATTTTAAACACAGGATTTATTACAATGAGTTGTGTTATAAGTACTTACTTCATGCAGCTCGAACCTCAAAGGGATTACAACTCTTCGTATGAGATCAAAATTCCACAATAAAATAATACATTGTAAACAACACAGAAATCTAATAAATTCCATTTTACCATCGAAACGGCAGTTTTGGAATTATTCTGAAATCTGTGCTTGCCATCAAACCAAATGAACCTTCACAGATGGCTACCTTTTTAAGAGTTTATTACAAAAAAATTTTTTTTTTAATCTAATTGACTACCTTCGAATGTCAGAACAGATTCATTAACCATTGGTGAGCAAGGGAGCATCGTTGTTTACCCCAGGAAAATCCATTTTATGCAACTTTCTCACCAAAATGAAGAGTTGTCATCCCTTTAAACACTTGCCAGTATATTCAAGCCTTTTAGGGAACTTTCCCACAGATATTTGGATTGATCTATCTCCCTGGGGAGTCTCACTAAATTGCTATCAAACTAACTGGCTGAAACATCTGTCATGCCTAGTTAAACTGTTAGGGGGTTATTATCTTTTCCCCTAGCTGATTCGGTAGGTGTGACAGACATTTAAGCCTCTTGAGCTGATAGTAATTTACCGTGAACCCCCAGGGAGTTAGGTCGATCCAGATGGATCGATCTAAGTATTGGAACCCAGTTTTAGAAAGCGGTCCACCACTGTATACTCACAGTTTGGTAAAATAGCACCGTAAGGTTCCCCATGAGCTTTTGCATATACAGCTAGGAATATTTGAAAAATAATCTGAAATATTAAGGCTATGGAACTCAGCGCAAGGACTGCTCTAAGGTATCGCCCTGTATGCCCTGCAATTATGAAAAAGAAAAACATATTATATATTGGTGTGACTGAAAAAAAACAAACTAAAATTGTAATAAGAAAAAGAAATTTTCAATTTTCTTTTAGAAAATAAATTTATTTTATATATTGCAAAGATAATATTATTATTTATGTTATTAAAATAATCTTCTTAACTTTATTCAGTCTCAAATGCACCTCTCAAAATTTTCCTTAACATCCATGGATTGGCTGATCTTACCTGCCATGTGCTTCTGCGATGGCGTATGCAGCAGTGGCAGCACCAACAGCAGACATGCGTACACAAATGACAGCCCATTGTAACGAAAAATTACAGCTGAAATTAAATAATTGAGAATTTACAATAAAAATGTAAACAGTGTATTCCAATAAGAGTCATCAGAAATATGCCTCAGCACCTCTAACTACCAACTTTGAATATTATATATTTTATAATAGGAAACATTTTCCAAAAATCAAAATATTAATTTTCTGATAAATTATTTTGAAAATTTTTCATAAAGTGGGTATCTCTAGAATACTCTTTTGTCAGGTCACAATACTTATTAGACTGTTCAAAGCAGAATTCTTAAAAATAAATAAAACAATAAATAAATAAATATATATATATTGTCCAAGTAAGGAATTTTGTTCTAGAAACATATCAGCTGTACTGTCAGTCGGGCGTACGACAGTACAAACCACAAGTTGACCCAAATTACTCAGTAAATATATATCACATGCCAAATGCTCACTCCTACAACTGATTTGAGATACTGAGGTAGGGCAGGTCCCCAATTTGTATAATATAATATAATGACTTGCAGAGTCAAGTGATTCAAGGCGTGATCATGTCATCAAGTCCAACTAGGACTGAAAATGTGTTAAATATTGTCAACAGACCCTTACTCCTTATTGCATATTGTGAAATTTGGAATTCTTAGCCATAATAAGAGTTCATATATGAACTAGTTATGGTGACCTCAACTGGTCTATTTTAGGTCCCAGTTAGTCCTGATGTGAATATGTATGAGCTATGAAATAATAAAGCAAATTTTCATCACAAGATCTTATTTCTGGTTTCTTTTTCTTTATGAATGATCCACGTCATTGTGTGCCCAACCCATACTGGAATATCAATTTTCATCACAAGGCGCTATTTGAGAGTGAATTTTTAATGTTTTTATCCCCAAACAACCTAGTCATGTACTTCACTGTTCACTCAGTCTCCAGCCGTGTTAAGACCAGGGCTAAATCAGACTGGAAATAGGGTTAATTCATGTCAATTCCATCAATGAAATAAGGATTTTAAAATTGTTTGAAGCACACATGTTCTCTCTCTCTCTCTCTCTCTCTCTCTCAATACATCAGCTTATTTCTTATTATTTTTCACAAAGTCAATTTAAAATAAAGCTGAGCACACCAGAAGTTTTGCTTCTCAATTGATATGATCCGTAAAAAGATGAAAGCTAGCTTACTTCTGTGCAGCATGTCACCATGAAATAAACTGTGATATTGTCCACAGCATGCATCCTTACCTGCCAGTAAAGTGATAGGAAGCAACACATTGTACAGCAAGAAGCAGACCAGTCTTTTTGTGTTCATTAACATATTGGAAAGTTTACAGACACACCAGTGTCCTCTCTGTTAAGGTATATCCATAGTTGTTATTCACGGCAACTCATCTCTGTTCATTCTGGAAAGAGAAAAGCATACATGTACTAGTATTTACGTTTCTTCTCACAATGGAAGATAATTTTAAAAAGAAAAACATTCAAGAGTCCAATGCAGCCATTATCTTCACTGATGCTCCTAACAGAAATTCCACATGTCAATCCTAAGTAGAAAGGTGTAAATGCAACAAGAAGCAACAATACTTCTTATGATTCATCTCTGCTGAAATATGATTCTTATACAAAGATGCACAATGTCCACTATCATTAACAGTGCAGATATCACTCTCATTCAAAGAAATTCTTCAAATTTGCCCAAATATCAAGAAAAAGCATTTTTTTATGTCCATGCTTCTCAGAAAGCTCTCAATTCACCCATACCAATCTTCTTGCCTCTATATCTCCTAAATCTGACTTCAAGAACTCTGCTACTAAATCCTCCTTAAATGACAGGAATAAACATTCCACAGCCATCCCTATTTCTTAGAATTAATTCCACTGCACTACTACTACTGAAGCAAAGAAAAATTCAGTCAAAAATGTCATGTCTACTCTTTTATCATCCAATAATGCTTCTTACTCATTCAACTGAAAAAAAATCACCAGGGCAAAATTTCATATTCAAAAGAAACTCTCCTATTTCAGAACGAGAAAAGGTATTATGAAAGCAGAAAGGGGAAGAAAATTATTTTATCACATGGCAGCCATAAAATCTCCCTGCCTCCCAAGGGAAACAATTTCACAGAACAAAATAGTTCAATGGCCTCCGTAAGAGATAGAACTGCACCAGGCAATGATTAACATCTATTGTTCACAGAGCATGGACTGAAAGTTCTAGCACTTTACTGACTGCAGATATTATTAACCAATGTCAAACTCCTAGCTTATCCCACCATAAATTTTTTTATAGTCACTTACAAAAACATACTTTCTGTAGTCAGACTCCAACTTTCAACTTTCAAACCTTTTAAATTATCTTTTTCTAGTTAAAACCAACAAAACACCATTTGGCAAAGTATATTTTAATCGAATATTGCTCAACTTTTGTGAGAAATCCCCACATCATAACCAAAGTGGTAATTTATAATAACCACAAATATTTGCAAAGTGCTGTTGCTGATTAATGCCTTGGTTTTAAAACACACTGGGCATTGAACGCATACTAGCACTTATGTCCAGGGGGGCTAAGACTTGCAAGGTACTGTACCTGCCTGTATCTTGAAACTGTCAGTACCTTAAAACTGCCTTTACCTTGACACTGCCTGTAAATTGAAACTGCCAGTACCTTAAAACTGCCTTTTACCTTGACATTGCCTGTAAATTGAAACTGCCAGTACCTTAAAACTGCCTTTACCTTAACACTGCCTGTACCTTGAAACTGTCAGTACCTTAAAACTGCCTTTACCTTGACACTGCCAGTACCTTGAAACTGCCAGTACCTTAAAACTGCCTTTACCATGAAACTACCTGTACCTTGAAACTCCCTGTACCTTGAAACTGCCAGTACCTTGGAACTGCCTGTACCTTGGAACTGCTAACAAATACCTTGAAGGTACAAAAGATTTACAACCAGGTTTATAAGAAGACATTCGGCACATAGGTTTCATTTTCAGTCAAAACCAGGTTAGGGTGACCTCATTCACTCAGTATTACCTTGCTGAGCAGCAGATTTTTTAATTATGTTTGTAACCACAGACAGGTAATCAAATCTAATTAGAAGCTTGCATGTGCGTGCATTTAGGTGTGCATGTATAGCTTAGGACTAAGGAGGCTGTCTACTATGTTATATCAATTAGACACAACCCCATTGCAACTCCCTTCTACTGATGGCAAGAATATGTTAAATATTGTTCTCTGATCTATAGTAAGGCAATTCCTGAAAAAACTGAGGTTAATACCCTTACGGACTCCCAGGCACCCAGCTGTACTGTTTGCCAGAGGTGTCTATGATTCTAAAAGTCCAATTTCCCAATAAATACTGGCTTAGTTGAACAGGCATGAATCTCCCCCTCATTGAATCATTGTATTTGATAGCTATTTAATCTCCTGGCAACCTGTTATGGTTAGTGCACCCAATATTGGACCAAATGAAATAATGATATCTCTCCTTGCTGCATATTTGTCACACTATTTTAAAACTAGGATGCAAAATGTCTTCTATCCTAGTTTAAAAAGATGATTGGGCATTCCCAAATATCTGTTTGTAGATGGGGTCAGTACTGAAATCTATCATCATTTTTAAAAAAAACTGGGTACCAAAATTCATCAATATTTTTATAGTGATATGTCTTTTATTGGCGGAATGTTTGCAATTTGTCGGTCTGTGTATCACTATATTACACTAAGTCCGTCAGAACAAGACAGAAATATATTAACAGATTTCTCATGTGCAAAACTACATCATAGATAGTTTTTATATTGCTATAAAAGATATGAAATGGATAATTACTGGGAAAAGTATGGCAGCTGCCAAGCACAGAATTGCCATCTAATGGATACAGGACCCTGACCAGAAGTCAATTCTCATTTCAGTGCCCCATAATTATTACCTAAATAGATCAAAGTCTCTAATAGCCAATTCAATTGATCTACAGTTTCTGAAATTGATTAAAATTTAGCATCATGACTGTAGTAGTGTTTACCAGCTATTTGTCATTTTAGACTTGAGTGCATTGCTGATGATTTCACTGAACACTTGCATAATTCATATGAGATGTGGTTTTCCAGCACAAAGCACACAACATGGAATATAAATCTGCCACAGCACTTCATGTAATATCGCAGAAACCATACACGATGTTATTACTTACTGAAAGACTTGGTGTCATATTAGTTACCTGTAGACACCGGTTTTAACTTTAAGGCTGAAAACTGCATTATAGCTTGATAAAGAAAAAGTGGCAATGGGATATGTATATGTATATATTCTGAAAATTGGGAATTAAGTCCAGACTGAGTGGAAATAGCCAAAGTAAACAGTGCATGTATCCATCCAGGTCTTTTCTGAAAAAAAAAACCTTCCTCTATAATGTAACCATCCAGATTTACACCTCGAGACTCCTCATTAGTAATGACAACCTTCAATCCTCACAAGCAAAGAGCAATAATTCATAAATAATTCACCACATTGGAAAACATACAGCTAGTGTTGATACAAAATACAGTGTTTTTTTTTATATAAGCGAGGGTGGCATCTAACCAGTGCAATATCCTATTGCTTACAAGTACCTGTATATGTAGCTAATTTTAGTGACAGAATTTCCTAGTCAGTCGGCCAACTGACCAGTTACTTGCCCTGCCTCTGTCTGACTTCTGTCTGACTTCTGGTTAACCTCTGTCTGACCATCTTCTTCCTAGTGACTCTGGTGCCACAGACCAATGTACAAGTCTACACAACAAATATACCGTATGTTATATGTACAAGACACCTTGCCAAAGATGCACACGACTGGTTTTTTCTCAAGCCTCTAGTGGTTTTAGCTATATCTGCAGGCTGTTAAATAATACATGTGCAGCATAATTGCCTACACTCCTACGTAGAAAATACACTTTTTTCTTTTCAGAAATTTCAAATGCTTCCCTTTTGTTCCAATTTATCCCATTTTTTTTTTCAAAATTCCATTTTTTTATAACTCTCAAAAACACCCTGGCATTAACCCAGCTCAATTTTAAGAACTTGCAGATCATAAAAGCAGTGTTCATAGGATTAGGAGAGAAAACTATTTCAGACATTAACTCTATCAACAACCTTTCAATCTTATATTCTATTCATTTTGTTCACAATGTATTTTTTTAATCATTGAACAATATGAAATTATATTCTGCACCTATTCACACTCCCCCCCCCCCCCAACCACCCACTGAGACTATTTCAACCATCTCCTTTTCGAGTACTTACTGTAATCCAGCTAGCTGCAGAAATGCCACTCATCAAATAAAGTACTAAGGCAGTACATTGCAGATGGGTATGATTTATAAAGAGAAAAACTTACCAGCTCTGTACAAGCACTTACTTTTCAACATCATCAAAGTACCAGCATTATTATCATGCTTTACAGACCTAACCTACATCGTTCCTGTATGACATCTAGTCTGAACACACCTGCTTTCTGTGTTCAGTAATTACTATACATGAAATCAAAGCCGTCAGATTTAGATCAAAATGCGTGGTTGACTCACATAAAATTGTTTCATATTTAAGCCTAAAAGTTGTACAGTAATCTAAATGTGAATCCATCAGAATTCAATCAGAAGAATTACCAATAACTTTTACAATAATAATGCCTTTTTTCTTCCTACTTTTTTGGTTAATTTACCACTGACTAAATGCAAAATGTGAAAAGTTTGGTTTCTACAATAAATAAATAAAGAAAGAAGTAATAGACTGAAAGATTTAAATCATACTAATAGATGCCTGAACTGACCAATGAGTTTTCTCAACCCAGTTGAAACTCTATCCTTCATCATTGGCATATGTGGAGGTGGTGTTGGTGACAAAAGACAATTTCCAACATACACACTATAGAACTGAAGCATTGCTTGCAAATCAAACTGTAGTTTTAACCCAGTAAAATAATCACAACAAAAAACAATCAATGATGGGTAAATAATTCCATTTCTGTCAGATCTGTCAGTCAATTTTACTGATGCAGTACATCAAATAAAAAAAATAACTCAAGCAGTGATATCCTAAAGTGTTGTAACTTCCCGAAAAACAACACTAATTTGGTAGGACGTGAGATCAGAATCATTTTCCCCAAGCAGTTGTGTCTCACAGTAATAACTGATAACACTAAAAATGTGCCTCAGACCTCTCAAAAGAAAATGAGTTTAAGTCAGAAATTGTAGTTTTCAGAAAAAAAAAAAAGATATGCAAAATAAAATAAACAAAACATATTGCAAATAGTGTGGAGTTTGAAATTTAACAATTATCACCATAATTCTCTTTAGCCATAGAATAATTTTTTCTAGCCCATTTATGCTTAAGATAGGAAGGGGAGAGAGATATTTGAAATTTCCCTTG